TCTAGTAACATGTCGTGACTTAAACATAAGAACATATTATGGCTAAGGCTACAGTTATACACGTCGTAATAATAATATTAAACACCCTGTCTGCTGACAGTCATCAACTCTTCTCTCTAGTTATCCTTGACCAGATGTACCCTGTAGAAACTCATAAGCATGCCTAAGCATTTAACAGTCTAACTAGACATCCTATCTCCACTAAACATTTCTAATACATAAAGTATCTAACCTTTTTCTATCTGACTAAAAATACCTAACAATATTAAATAAATGAATGAATGGATGGTATTAATGTGTGTGCTGACATGAGTACTGTTACATGCCTGTAAGATGGGGGTTCTGAGACTCCCTCATATTTGGGTTATACATTATAAACTCTAGTCTATAACTGTAAGGTTTAGTATTACAGCCATGTTACTCAGCAGTAGCCTATGTACAGTAAGACAGATATTTAATTTCAGTTTGTAAAAGAAACACACAGACCACAGCTCCACAGTGCTGTTTAGTGCCATACATTTGCATACTGCTTAAAGAAAAACTCATTTTGGACTATTATAGTTTCATTATAATTGTAATGTGGTAAGAGAAATAGCTTAAGCCAGAATTTGAAAATTAATAATCTAATGTGATACATCTTGGTAAGAGCTGTGAATGTGAAACCAAAACTGTTAAAACCGCAGGGGGATAAACATACAGAGGATAGGCTGTAGTAGAGCTTAGCTGTGTGTACCGCTCAGGTCAGTACTAAAAGGTTAGGTAACCTACTGTATGTCCAGGGTTCTTTGCTACAGCAGCCAGCCATTCAGCCACAGAGGTGTCAGTAAGCTCTGTTTTCCTGGCCACCAGCCACAACCAGTCATGTTCAACCAGGCCTTGCTGGATTGGCTCCAGCCAGCCATGTGAGAGACAGACAGAGGGCGTCGCTAGGCCATCTGCTGTGAAGTGATTGGTTGGAAGTGTCTCACCACTCAACCCTCTCTCTGCATGTACATCATTCTGATGATGGAGGCCTCTGGGGGTCTGAGAGTCCTATTGTGGGCCTCACTGTGAAAATCCTGACCACCAAGACAGATCAGTGTAAAGATATTTACACAAGAATAATACACTTTATTTGTTTCTCAGGGTATCTGCAGGTCTTGAAAAGACTTAAAAACCATTGATTGAAAACTTTAAGGTATTAAATATTTTTCCAGTCTGCCATTGGCAGTATTGTTATCTCTTGAGAGACTACATGCAATAAGCAGTAAAAAAAAGAATCCCTGAACTTGGTTATAGAAAAGATGGCTGAGATGGATTTCATTGTACACCCTGTCTTTGAAGTGATTGTTTGAACCTTTGGCTGAACTGAAATCAGCCTATCTTGATCAAGCTTTATAGCTACAGTTTGTATGCTACAGTACCATGTGATAAAAGTGTGCTGTTACTAAAGCCTGAAAAAACAGTGAAAAGGCCTGCTGAATCTGGGTCAATACATTTTGATATAAAGTATCAGACAATGCCTGCAGATAGCTGCAAGTGTGTGATCTGCTCATTTGCTCATCAGCAGTATGCCCTGTGAGTGCCCCTGTCAGGCTAATGGCTTATTACCAGAACACAGCTGCTCATGTTTTTTCTTCCTTTCAGGAAAACTACAAGATGGTGCCTGTTTCAACTGCACAGCGCTCAGGCTCTGCAGTCAACAGTAAGCACATTTAATGTGGGGCTTGTACAGTGTCTGCAGTTCTTGAAAACATTTGAAAGTAACTAGCAGTATGTTATATAAAAGTCCTTAAAATATGAGGCCTGTATTATAATATAACATGTTAAAACAGCTTCAGATTAAGGGGTTTTAAAGCATTGTTGTTTCATGTTTGCTGCTTTTATGTTCAGAACCAGCCTCAAATCGAACCTTATTGAAGCTTTAGGAGCTCTGTGCCCCAGGTTTTGTCTTGAATTGAACCTGTGGAGCATTTTTCTGATGCCTTCTAGTTGATTTTGCTAATTTCAACTGACTGACTTGTGCTTAGCCACTGTTGCATGCTAACACAACACCTTTACTTTTCTCAGCACTGACATCAATTGAAAATTATTGTCTTTAAAGCTTTGTGGTTTATTGATTGTTTAAATGTTTTGTTCATTTCAGTAGAAATTTTAAAAGATTTCACATGCTGAAATCTGCAGACACATTTTTTTCATCTATTCAGAATTTTTGGGGTGGTTTAATAATTTGTTTGATACAACAGCATTTGAGGGTAATTTTTTAACCATGTAAATACATTATGTTCATATATTTGCCAAGAATAACCAGTGACCTGGCTGCCAAGCTGTTTTCATTTTGTACACCAATGATTTTAAATTTTGTTGTGTTTTTTGAGTTAAGACAATTGTCTTAATGTCAGTATTTTAATTTTAAAACTGTACTTTTGTGTATGGTCTAAGAGTCAGACTGAACTTTGTATTCTGAATCTCTTTGCTCAGGTGTTTCTTTAGACTTGATCAGCCTCAACTTGGTAGTTTGGCCCAAGTCTCATCATTCAGTCCGTCCTTCCCCTTGTCAGGCAGCTATGTGAGCCAGAGCCTGGACTCACCTCGGCTCTACTGGGCCTCCCTTTCACCATATCCTGCGATCACGACAGGGGCCCAGTGGACGACGGCACGACCTCAGGACATCTCTGGTGTCAGGTGGATACACACGTCGAGGAGGAGATGGGATGACTCAAAGGTGGAGAAGTCACTACGTTCATTAAAGGACAAGAAGAAGCTAGAGGAAGGAGGGCCGGTGTACAGCCCAGTGCTGGATGCACAACCTGTAAGAAGAACGCTCCGGCAGTGGGTTGTGGATGAAGTCAAGCACTACTACCACGGCTTCAGGCTGCTGTGGATTGACACCACCATTGCAGGACGCATGCTGTGGAGAGTGCTGAACGGACATGCCCTGTCCCGCCGTGAGAGGAGACAGGTGAGGCATGTAGGGGAGGACAGAGGAGAACACTGTAGTATGAAAGGTTTTCTCTGGACCTCTTTGTGTGATGATGTACGTGAAGACCACAAGGCGTCATGCTGGCTCCTGCATTTTTGTGACTGATGTCCCAGTACAACCACAGTGATCTGCTGTTGACCAGCTCTACTGGAGTATTGGGTTTTATTAGATTATAGTCAGACAGCTTAGACATTTTGTTCTATAATGTTTAATCGACATCTTCTCAAACCTAATGGGATCAATTAGAGAAATTGGCTGCCTGCTGAGTGTGTACTCGCTTGGTGCTTAGCAGATTGTGCTGCTTGATTAAAGCTCTTTAGGAAGAAGCTTTATGTGTTCCAGCTTTGATTAGACAATGCCTCATTTAACTGTAGTTTCACACAATGTTCACACTTAGCACAAGCTTCCCATTGTTGCTTCTACGGTAGCGGATTGCCACAACACAGCAAATGATGAAGATGTGACTGCTATATGATGAAATATCTTGTTAATATATATATATAATGTTGCTTGGCTGAAACATATTAAAATAGTAAAAAAGTGAGATCTTTCTGGGCTATGCAGCTATTACATAAGAAGGCTATAATTGATCTTTAGCTAATGATATGTGGATAACCTAAGTTTTACAATCACTAATTAAAACCAGATGCAAGGATTTTCAGTTAACTAGACTGGAAGCAGAAGTTAAAATTCAGCTAGCAGTAACATAATAAAACATATAGGACAGATGTCTCTCATATTTTTTAACCTAATCTACTGCTTGCTCTGGAGTCATGGCAGCCAGCTGTCTGACATTCAGGGAGGCTGTCTGGAATCAGGCTCACTGCAGTAATCTGGTGCAGGTGCTGGCACACAGATGTCATTTGAGGGAGGATGAGCAGGTCAGCACAGGACACACTTACTGTTCCCACATCCCTCAGTGGTACAGGAAGGTACTTTTATGCTGCGTTCCCACTGTCAGAACCTAATGATACCCCAAAACCTCACTTAACCATCACCAAGCGTAGCCTCCAGGGTTGACCTAGACCGTCCTGCTTTGTTTTTATCACAGTATTTTCTCTCTGTCAGACTCTATTTAGAGTAGGGAGGGGCTGCACCGCTCACACATGCTGTCAGTTGTGTGTTTACACACCATGCCTGTGATGCTAATGCTTGGGGTGTGAAGATGCGGACATTTAACCAATCACCAATGACTGCAACACACACGCAAACCCTCCCCCCTTGCATTCCTGGTACTTGATTTTAGTACCGCCTCCTGACAGGAACCAAAATGTAGCTCCAGGAATGCACCTCCAACGAGAGCGCACCGTAGTAGAAACAAATGCAGAACCTGTGACGAGCGTTACTCAGATCAACATATTTCAGTATGTTCCTATAATGGAAAGTCCCCTTTAGTGTGAATGCTTCTCTTCAAGGTGTGAAATAATGAGCATCTGTTGTGGTTGACTGGGCCTCTGCTGCCCTTGTCTGGGAGTCTAATGTCCCCCTTTGCTTTGATTGAATTACTTGTATGCTGTGTCTAACACTGCCAAGAGCTCTCTCGCCAAGCTGGCCCCACATTCACTGGTTCAGTTGATTAAACTGAACAGGTGGAAAAGAGCAGTGTTGGGCAACTTTGAAAGCATAGCTTTGCAATTCACCAATTACCTCACAGTGGAAGAAGTTGAACTACAGCAAAGCTACCCTACTGAGAAATGTTGTTTGTTTAACTGAAGCTGCTTAGTAGTTCCGACTACTCAGTAAAAATTGATCATACTGACAATGTACGTCTGATTCAAAATTATAACAATATAATAAAAAAAAACACATTTAAATACATATAAAGTCATGTACCAGCAAAAAATACCACTTAAGTTTATTGCAAAAAGTGGCCACTTGTTCACAGGTCATGGAAAGTAAAAATGTAAAATGATATAAAATAGAAAATCACAAAATATTTATGAATGGAAAGGTATAATTTTGGCATTCAGAATGGTTTGAATCATTGCTCTGTCAATTGACTAAATGATTCAGGTCTAGAAATAATCAGGATAAAAATCTAGCATGATATTAACTGACCCACCCAGTTATAAAAGGAGCTACAATGCAGAAATGGTGTAGGTAATAATTAATTGTGCTTTGGGAATATTAATGGCAAATTGATTCACAGCATCCAACTTGATCAGTATTACCTCTAGCCAAAATAAGAGTTTAAAATACAATAAATTAAATTTCTCTCACAATAACAGCAATACGTGTCTGATGCAACAGTGACTGAAGTCAAGTGCCGGGGTACTCGGTGGACAGGTCACCAGTCTAACTCGAACATGTAAAACAGAAATTCATTTTGCTAGTTTTTGACTGCAGTTTGCTTGGAACTATTCAACTGGTCAATGGAGCTTTGTTATACAATAACTGAACATCAAACAATAAACCGTTTAGTTATCTCTGAGCCCTACAGTACGTTCAAAATGTACCATATTCAGTGTTATTAAGCTGAAAGAACTGAGGACCTAAAGCTTCATTGCACTGCCAAAGCTGATGATGGCCATAGTTTCCCTCTATTAAACCCACACCACCACACCATCTGCACCTCTTCAAATGCAGCTGACTCCCTGGGAGCACATGTCGAAAGACCATCTACACCCCATTCCTCTAACCTGGACTGGCTTTGCCTCCTTAATCTCCTCCTTTCATATTCACGTACAATACTCAAGCCTCTGTTTAAGGCTCCTTCTATTTTAATCTCTCACCCCCTCCTCCCCTCTTTGATGTGGAACTCTGGGAGATGATATACATGTCAATGGGCATACGGACAAAGGCCTTTTCACTCAGGCTGGCCTAAATCCTTCACCCTACTGGTCCACTGACATGCAGGTGGAAAGGCTGGAGAAAGAAGGACTCGTGTTTTGGCCTTCTCCCCTCAGGCCCATTTCTGTAGATGGCTGGTTGGGATTGTGTCCCGGTGCGGCCAGTAGACCACGGCTGGACAGCTGTACAATGAAGCAGACTAGTGTGGGCCTAACACTTCTATACTCTGAGGATTGTTCAGGTCTGTGCTGACAAATGTGCTTCTTGTTGGCTCAAGTGGACAGTTTTTGAGCCATGTGAGGCAGAATGTTCACTTTGGTCTGCAGCTCCATGAGAATACTGCACTGATGAATTAGGAGGTTTCTGTATAGACACAGGGTTAAAAGTGCTGACTGTTGAAGCCATGAGACAAAGGAAGAGGAGGTAAACATTTTCACATGGTTCCCTGTTGTCTTTTCTTGTTGCTACTGCTCTCTGCTGGAGCTATGGTGGAATTGAATAGTACATGTAGGCCCAATTGTTACATGTTTTGAAAAGGCACTGAAAACCTAAAGAGAAGCAGTCATGATTTGGTTTATCAGATCAAGTACCAAGTGCACGTTGACATCAGTTTATCAATGCCAACTGTGGACATGTAAGTGAATCTCCACAGTTCCTCAAGACAGATTCCTTCACACTATCAAGCTTTCATGTCCAGCATTTCATGAGGTTGATTCTAACGCCAGCTTTCATAAAATTTCTCTCCAGTTCCTCAGAACATGTGCAGATGTCTTCAGACTTGTTCCCTTCCTGGTGTTTATCATCGTCCCTTTCATGGAATTCCTGCTTCCGGTAGCTCTGAAACTCTTCCCCAGCATGCTGCCGTCCACATTCGAGACTCAGTCAAAGAAGGTAATTAAGGCCATTTTACTTGGACTGATAATATAATAACATCTGAATCCTCATCCATGAAATGAACTTCCAGCCATGATCTTGATGTCAGTGAAGCTGCAGTCTCATCCTGAAAAGGGTTCATCCTAATTACACTTTAATCCATAGCATAACAGGATCGGTGATCTGTTGTTTCATACTGTTACTAGTGCTTATGATTGTGTAGTGTAAATTCCCTTGTTCTAAATGTCAGTTCTCTTCTTTATATTCACACATTATATATAGTACTGGCAGTAGATTATAAATATACTGTATCTAGTTTCATTACATATCTTATAGTGTTCTTGAAAACTGCTCTGCAGAATGTTCAACTCATCATTCACACTGTTTTGAATTTGTAAACTGCTGTTTTAGGAGGAGAGGTTGAAAAAGGAGCTGAGGGTCAAACTGGAGATGGCCAAGTTCTTGCAGGACACCATCGAAGAGATCGCTCTGAGGAACAAAGCTGCCCAAGGAGACGTGACGGAGGAGTTCTCCACCTTCTTCCAGAAGGTGGGTGTTTGCTGAGAGAAACTGGCTCAGTTCTGTCCTCTGCTGGTGGAAGTAATGGGAACATGGTTGTCTGGTGTGCTGTACCAAGTAAAATGATTCAAAATGAGGCCATAAATAAAAAATATGAAGGTTATGGTTTTTTATACACTGTATGTTTTATCATGTTACACATTTTACCTACATCTTTCTAAATACACACTTGGAATCAAGCAGTAATAAGGAAGAAGGTCTTAACAGCTTGTCTCACTTTGTGTTAATGTGTAAACTAATGATACATTCACATATCTGGATTTACACTGAAGAACAGAACGTTAGCTGCACTAGGCACATTTATATCCTAGTTGGTTAATTGACCATTTAAGAACTTGTAGAAATGAAAGAACATCTTAAAAAAACTATGACAGTCTGTTATATCTACCAGAGGTAATAATAAGAGCAGGACAAAGGAGGAAGAAGCCCAGCATTCACTCACTGCTGTTTCATAGATTTTGTTGATACATTTAGGTCCTTCTACTCATGATAAATGATAATGTAGCTCCCAGACTTTTAGCAGACCTCCACTGTTCAGAATGATGTACCTTCTTTATCTTTGCAGATCCGGGACTCAGGGGAGCGTCCCAGTAACGAGCAGATCATGAAATTCTCCAAACTGTTTGAGGATGAGCTGACTCTGGACAACCTGACCCGCCCTCAGCTGGTTGCTCTGTGTCGTCTCCTGGAGCTTCAGTCCATTGGGACCAATAACTTCCTCCGCTTCCAGCTCATCATGAAGCTGAGGACCATCCGCGCTGATGACAAGGTGTGAAGCTTTTTTTAAAGTTCTAGTAGATGTCCTCTTGAAATGATCAATTTCCTCTTATCATTATCAAAACTGAGCAGACAGATGCACTTCATAAAGAGACAAATCTGAAAGTTGGCCAGCGGTAGTAGGTACAACACTCATGACTTGCAATTTAACTTCCTCTTTACATTTTGTTTATTTGACCCTTTTGACACAATTTAAATGAAAGATGGATGAACTCTGCTCTGTTTGTCCAGCTGATAGCTGAAGAGGGTGTAGAGAGTCTGAGCGTGAACGAAGTACAGGCAGCCTGTCGCGTCAGAGGGATGAGATCTCTCGGAGTCACAGAAGAACGTCTGAGAGAGCAGCTCAGCCAGGTAACAGCAAATGGCAACCGGAAACAGGGATGGAGGATATTTTCAGAATTTAACCCTTAGGCACACGTACATGACAGTTTCCTCAGTTACAGAACATAGATAGGACTTATAATGTTACTGTCTTACTATGTCTAATTATTGTTTTATTCCATTTTTGTGCCGTTTTACCTCCACCTACGAGGGTATGTTTTTACTGCCCTTTGTTTGATCGTTTGTTCACAGCATAACTCAAAAAGTTGTGAATTGTTCTTGATGAAATGTTTTGGAGAGGAAGGGTATGGCCCACAGACTAATCCATTGGATTCTTCACTTCAAATAGGGCCAGTTTTAATATTTTTGCTTCTAACTCCATGCACAGTGCCTAGAATGGTTGGACAAACATTACACGATAATATCCACACAAGATCCACCACACACCAAAGTCTGATCTGGATCCGAGTAATATTCCAGGTCTCCTGATCCAGAATGTTCACATTTATAGGGCTCATGGAAAACTGGCTTCTATGAGACACCAAATAACGATGGGTGCTTGACTTATTTTTGCGTTGGCTCTGATGCCCTGTGCCAATATCCCCTCTCATGTTTCTGTTGTTTGTAGTGGCTGGAGCTGCATCTGAATCAGCAGATCCCCACCTCTCTGCTGCTGCTGTCTCGAGCCATGTACCTCCCTGACACCCTGTCTCCTGCCGACCAGCTGAAGACCACGCTGCAGACACTTCCTGAGATGGTGGTATGTTAACACAGCGGGGAAAGTGTTTTATTAAAGAATTTAAAAAAAGACTAGAATTTGATCACTTGTGGACATAAGCTTTAGCATTTATTCTTATTTTAGTTCTGACAGTGTGTAGCCTGTGTTTGTATTCTTCACAAAAAGTCTCAAAGTCCAATAAATCCACCGTTGAATAGGTCACTACTATATTGTGCTTAATTCCTTTCCCTCCCCTCTAGACGAAGGAGGCCCAGCTGATGGCAGCAGAGATGGAGCTCTCCAAAGTGGACAATAAGACCAAGCTGGAGGCGACACTGCAGGAGGAGGCAGCCATACGCCAGGACAACAAGGAAAGGGAGCTGGAGAGGCTGGCTGACGCTGCAGAGAAAACCGCCAGGGTAACGAGTCTCCCGTTGATTTATTTGACAAAAAAAGTGGACGGTTTCAAGCTTAGGGCCAGGTAACATTTGAGTAAGTAATGGGAACCATTAGTTAAAACAGTTTGATACCTTGACACTGGCAAATGTCATTGTGACATAAAGAGGAAAGTTTTACCTTTGACAAGTAAAATACAAAGGAAATCTTGCTTTAGGAAATTTGGTACTGAATGATAGAATACAGTCAGAAGTCAGACAGGACGCCTGCTTCCACACCAGTGTACTTGTGAACATTTTAACTAGAGATGTGAAACGTTTCCATAAGTCACACGAAATCATTTTAAATGATGCATTAGCATTTAATCTGTCAGTATGGAAGAGGAACAGGAATTACTGAAACAAATTTTAAAAGAAGGTGGCTTTACAATGGAAACCTCCACACTCAGTTATTAAAATAAGTTTCCCTGACATTAATTTGGAGCTGTTGGCAGCAGGTGTGATTACTATGATTCTGCACTGAGCTTCTAATTGTATATTACTGTTGTTTTGATATTACAGTATGTCCTCTTGATGTTAATGTGGTCTGTTGTATTGGCTTGTGTTTTCCTTTTGCTTTGTTTACATACAAATAATAAAAACAGTTCATCACAAAGAAGTTTTCCATCAGGGTGATGTGCTCCAGACCACAGGACTGACTTCTTTCACGTCCTTGTTTAGACCCATTGTTCTTAGTGTGTCTGATCAGTCGCCCCATCACTGTCTTCTGCAGGAGGGCGAGTTGGAGCTGGAAGCTGAGAGGGTGAAGCACAGCGAGGCGGAGCCAGCGTTGTCCAAGGTTGATGTGGCCGCTCACTCAGAGACTCTGAGGGATACGGCACCTGTCGCTGAAGGAATCAAGGTAACGTGTCTAAACGCATGGTTGATGAAACCAGTAGAGGCTGAATAGTAAATTACACTTTGGATACAGTTGTCTTTTTACATTTTACTGCAATTTCAACATTGAAGTTTGTGGTTTCAGGTTCAGCTCTGGTGTAGTACTTTCTTTGTGGCATTCAGTTTTGTCATTCACTTTTTAACTAACACAGACTTGATGTCATACACAACCCCTGACCAGCACATAACATGACTGTTTGATATTTTGTGTGGACACATTCTCATCTTTTTTATTTACTACACTGTGGTTTCTGTGTCACTCACTTGTTTCCATCTTCTCATTTCATCACTTCTGCATCTTCTCCACCTTTTTGAACAGTGGCAGGCCTTTCTGCACTTTCCGGGTTACTTAATCTCCTCCCAAATTACCCTCATTTATCCCGGTTTATCCCCACACACACAATCCCAGTCCCCTTAATTGCATCCATGTTTCTCTCACTTGTATCTTTTCCTTTTATCTTAGTCCCACTTTGTAAAATGCGAGGAAAAGATACAAGCAAAACTGTGAGGAGAGAGGGATTGAGGAAACACGATTAAATACCTGGTCGATTGAGGATCGATCGTGTAAGAGACTTGGGATGCACTCAGAGCACCTGGTCTTTGACTGAGATGTGGATTAAAGAGAACTGGCATCTGCTTTAACCTTTTCAGACTGCAAGTAGATCTGAGGTTCCGTAGGAGTATGAGCATAATCCAGGTTACAAGAAATAGCCCCAAAATGCGAGGTTTTGTGGGCATAACGAGATGAATGTTGACACCAGACAAACCACAAATGCTCATGTTTTGCTTTGTGTGTCCTTCGTGGCTAGGAGGAGCAAGCGCTGTTAGTTGTTGCAAGGATTGCAGACAAATCACAGACAAGTTTCAAGGATTAAATAATATTTTCTTTTTTGACCAGAAACCGATATTTATCTTTTAGCTATTTAATCCTGAAATATCAGTTCCTGCCTTTTAGAATAAGACAAAGTTCAGTATGGACAAACCATGGCATCCCTGGCCAGCAAATACAAGAGTTTCCCTATGTATTATAGAACATTCCACTTCTCTGGTGCTCTGAATTGGCTAAACAAATGGTAAATTGTTACAAATTCAGTTTGTCCCATCTGCATATGGACTTTTCCTTCTCTTTCCGTCGCTGATCCTTCCAGGCAGCGTCACTGACTGAACCTTTCCTTCCCTAACTCACAGCCTGTGTAGCTCCACACAGTTCCCTCCATCATCTGGTGTTGTTGGGTTACTAGTCCTCCTGGAGCTTCCCTCTTTTTAGCGAATGACCTATTCTCAAAGTAACCGTGGTGCACAGTGATACATCCAGTTTGAGGGGGAAAGCAAAAATGTTTCATGTTAAACAATGCCTCTAAAGTTTTCATGCACATGGTGAATACTCTGGCATTTTGAAGCAAATCTATTTAACTGTATGTTTCTGTTTCAGGGCGAGGAGATCACTAAAGAAGAGATTGACTTGTTGAGCGATGCCTGCTCAAAGCTGAAGGGGCAGAAGAAGCTGTTGACTCTGGAGAAAGAAGAGCTGGAAGAACTGAAAGATGATGTTCAGGAATACAATGAGGTGCCTTGTTCAAACAGTAATTACTGGACACACATAAGAGCTTTATTGCCATTTAAATCAAAGGTTTATGGGTAATTTCAAATTGCACAAAGAAATATGTTATGTGTGCTTTTGCAGGACTGAATGAAAGCAGGTTATTACTTTGTATCCAAGTGCTGTATGTATTTTCACCATATTTTGTGTGATCTCCAGGATCTGGAGGAGATAAAGAAGGAACTTTCTAAGACTGGACAGGAGAAGGCTTTAGAGGAGTCGAAGGCGAGCCAGCGTCTGTCTAAGAGAGTGAACCGTATGATCGGTCGCATCGACAAGATCATCGGGGAACTGGAGACGGACAAGGCCGTCCTGGATGGACAGATGGACAGCGGAAGCACTCCACCTGTTGGGTAAGAGCTCAATAAGGTGTTTTATAGCTAAAATATGCTCTGTCGAGGCTCAGAATAGTGTCATAGATCTTAAAAATATATGGATAAAGACAACTCAGAGTGGTGATCTGAAAATCCTTGGTAAGTTCAGTTTGCCTTTCAGGAGTTGCTGCCACTTTAGAAATAGTTTAAAACACACTAACTATAATGTTGATGAGATGAAGGGAGCTGTGCTAAGACGCCAGGACCTTGGGCACTGATATCAGCCTCGTGTGTGTGTGTGTGTGTGTGTGTATGTGTGTGTGTACACAGTGCCGACTTAGCTTTGCAGTCTTCTAACACTGTCAGATGCCACCATCACTAACCCCAGTGACATGGCTTCAGGACATTTATCACATCTCGCTCTGGAGCCACAGAAGGCTGTGTAGAGCTTTTCACACACCTGTAATCAGACTTGATGTGTGATAAGTGGCGGAAACAAAGGTTCAGAGATGGAGTCAGGATAGATTTTACTTAGCTTAGCATAAAAATTGGAAGCAGGGGGAATCAGCTAGTCTGAGTCTGTCTAAAGTTTAAAAATGCCAACACCTCAATATATTCAATAACAAGGATCAATCTCAGAATGAAAGCAAATACACATATTCCCCAAACATGTTGAGCTTTGATGTGTCTCTTGGCTTTGCACCATTTCACTGGCTGTGGCGTTGGTGCCTGTCAAGGGCAGCAAGCTGCTGAAAGAGGATCATGCAAAGGCAACTCTTTGGCACCAAGGACAGTCAATGTTAGCACGACTGAAAGGGACTTCCTGTCAGGAAAACAAACATCTGAACAAAGAACCAGTGCTGCCGTTTCATAATTCACTTGTCTATGATGCAACTACTGCACATAGTGCTTGCTGCCTGTTTCCAAAGCGCTTTGATTTCTCTGAACCTGTTGCCGATGTATCATTTATGTTAACGCTCCATGACACATACCCATGTGTCTTTGAAGTTACTTTGGATTTTAATCATCATCACTTTCACTGTAAAATGATGGTGGAGATAAAGCAAGGGACAAAAGGTTACCCAGAAAAAAGTGTTTGCAATTGTCAAACCAAATCCAGGTCTTTATTTATTTAAAATGGTACAGATTATTCTTTACTAAATACAGTGATGCCACACGGTAAGATAAACTGAACTGTAAGCTGCCATTTGCTTGCCAGTGCTAACATTGCATCATTGTTGAACAGCTGCTGAAACTGCTCTAAAGAATCACGTCATTCCTCAGGCATAGACTCCATTTCTGCTCCCCACACAAACACTGATGAGACATTACAACAAAAGGCTCCCTTCTTTCCAGCTCCCATTTACAGCCCCTAAAAGGTTCTTTCTCACAGTTCTCTTAAGACAAGGGGATAGTTTTGGCTTCAGGATGGATCCAGCAAAGCATTAAGCAAAACAAAATTTTACCTAACCAAGAATATAAAGCACAAAAAATAGCCTTAATTAAACCAATTAAACTTAGAAAGGGCAAACAAAATAGCAAACCCCTATCCCTACCAGAAATCCCAGGGCTGTAAATGTCTGAGCAACACACGCTCTGCAGCAGGCTGAACAACAATCGTTGCTTGTTGACTGACAGGAGCAGACAGAGTGGTCCATGTGAACGAGCCTTTACTCAGTCCACTGTAAAGCAGCTTTAAATTCAGTATTTATCGGCCTTAAAGGTGTCAGTAAAATTGAAGTGTGTTCCATTGCATTTCAGCATAAATAAAGGTTTAACTTAACCTGTCCTGAATAAAAAGTTAAACCTAAAATCCAGTTTGATCAGTGTGAGCTGGGGACCTTGAATGCAGCAGGTCGACCTCAGATTTCTCCACCACATTTTACGTCCTGTCAAACCTGGTAATCGTTTCCTGTATCAGTGTGTTCTACGCCTACAGAGAGAACCTAGTCAGCATCAATGAGCTGATCGGCATCATGCGGCAGATCCAGAATATTCCAGAGCACAAGCTGCAGCGCATCGCCGATGCTCTCGATGACAACAAGGACGGGAAGATCGACATCAACGATGTCATCAAGGTACGTTTAACAGGATGATCTTCTCTGAGGATGATACAAATTGTTAGATGGTTAAAGGACAATGTGTATCACCCTTTTATTAAAACGTGCAATAAAATCTGGAGTGTTGGTTGTTATTGTTCTCAGCCTGCTTCTCTTCCACTCTTCACACAACTGATGCACTACTTTATGGACTCATTGTGGCTGAGTGTAATATTGCTGGTCATAACAGAGACAGCGCAAGATCCAAAGGCTTGTTTTTATTATCAGCTAATATAAAGCCAAAGATGATGATTCTGTGATTATATACAACTAAGAAAACATCAGATTTGTACACTCAAGTAGCTGGAATCACTGAGTGTTCAGCATTTTGTGGCAGTTAAATGATTAATCAGTTATCAAAATGGCTACATTTGAATATTTTTGTTAATCAGTGAATGATTTCAGTTGGGACGATAGCTCCAAGCTGCCAGAAGACGTCAGTTCTCAGTGTTTTTGTAACAAAAGTCCACATTGTAAGATTTTTTCAAAGTGACAGATTTCTTCATCGGTAATGTCTGAAGGAGTTTTTTCTGCCCCGCGTTTTCCCAGGTGGTGGAACTGATCGACAAGGAGGACGTCGACATCTCCACCTCTCAGGTGGCTGACATCATGGTGATGCTGCAGAAAGAGGAGAAGCTGATGGAGAAGGAAAAGACCAAAGAGAAGGCTGAAAAGGAGCAGGCAGCCACGTTCACCAGCTAACTCCTGCTCCGCAAGAGACACAGGGTATATGTAGAAAGGCTGTCGAGAGGTTTGTGACTGAAAACCATCTGGACAAGTTGAGAACGAGTCACAAGGTAACGGCTGCTTTCTCCAAATGTCACATTTCACTGATAAATTCAGCCCCTACGACTTCTTGGAAAGTGAACAACATGGCTTGTTGCCTTTGAACTGCACAGAATGTAGAAGAAACCAGTGCTCCTGTTTTATATGTTGCTATTTGGTTTGGTGTAATTTAGTTTTAAATTTATCACATTGACATGAAAACATGGTCATTCTCTCAACTTGGCAAAGGGGAAAAGTGATCAGAAATGATATATGAGAGAAATAATTTGAGGTTTGAGGTGAATTGTGTTGCTTTTCCATTCATTCACATTATCATCTCTCAGAAACGAGAGATCGATTCTGAATTTTGCACAGTCAAAATCATCATCCATCGTTCCACTCAGTTTCTTTTCCTCTTACAATTTGTTTTGCCCGCGTTTAGCCAAAGTTGCACAGTGGCACGTTTAATAACAGATTCAGATTATTCCTAAAAAAAAATAAACTGACTTGACACAAACATTCAGTTGTTGCTTTGAACTGAAGTTGAGTTTTTATTAGTCTCTATTTCAGAAAACAGTTGTCAGTTGTTTGGGTTGTCTGGTCAGAGGATGATGTTAGCTGGTTCATCTTGTGCAGGTGAGTAGTAGGATAATCATGGTAACCTTAACCATAGTGCCCTTCTCCTGAAGCAGATATTGGGGATTATATACTGTGGTATATTTATTTTTGAGTATTTTACATTCTTTTCACTTGGTATAATTTAGCTTTTGGCCTGACTTCAGTTGAATCAGGTTTATCCAGGGTCCTGGTTTTGTTTTCAGATTGTGATGTCTGACCAACACGTGTTGCCTTTGGTTTATAATGAAACAAAGAGAAAATCTCAGATTCTCACCCCTTAGAAATTGGAACCATCTGACCTTCAGTTTATGCCTGATAATGATGAATTTTGAATTTTCTGTCAATTCAGCTCTAATTTTTCCTGCTGTTGGTCAGTGTGAGGAGCTGCTATTTACTGACATTTGAAATCTTAAAATAATCTGAGAATTAACATGAATGAATTGTTATGAAACAAGAAAAAAAACTCAACTTTACAGCTAAACTGACCTTTGTAATGGATTTATAGCCAAAGTCTGGTTTTTAAGACATTAACTTCTGTAGTATATCACATAACAGGCTTAGCGAGAAGAACTGGGGCTATTTAATGGCTATAACCAATTTCACCATAACTTTGCACTTTCAAGACAGATCTGGGCTTCATAAGATAAAAATAAGATGTCTGTCAAGGGTGCCAAGTTGGACGTGTTGCTTGCAGGGTGAGCCCACAGTACAGGGCTGAGCCAATGAGAAGCTCTGGTCACAGTGAACCCTCCAGTATTTCCCCACTGTCACTAGAGAGGAGCTGAGGTGTAAATGTAAATGGGGATGATAGGTGCTGCTTGAGACACTCCATTTAATCTGTGTGTGGATGAATAAGAACTTGATCATCTTCCATCAGGCACTGTGCCAGTTCAGACACTCCCTGGCGGAGTGAGGGCTCCGCTTTGCCTGGGACCAGTCAGACTGATGGGTGCAGGGTAAACACTCGGCCCATACATGGGCCAAACCCAGCTGCAGCGGACGGTTGTGTTTAGCTTAGAGATGCTCTGGCGGGACATGGCATGCTGTCTGTGGTGTAAATCAGCAGCCTGTGTAAACATGTCAGAGCCACAGTGTGACAACCCCTCAGTAACACTGGGCAGGAGAGAGTGGTGTTCGTTTCCCTACGCTTGACAGATCAGACTCAGGGGCACCCTGTGCACATTAGCTGCCCTGCCACTGCTTCAAGGCATGGGCGGGTCAAAGGTTTAAGGTGGAAAAGTGACATATACCAGGAAAAGTGAGGCTGATGGAGCTCGATACTGGCTGAGTACAGTGCAGTGTTATCTGGTGAGTGAAATATTTGCAGTCTCACAATCCTGGCAGATTCCTTTGTGATGTATGCTGTTTATTTTTGGCACTACTGCATTATGATACTGGGTGAGAGTGTTGTGCTCTACAATGTACTAAAAAAAAAAAAAAGATATTTAAGGCAATAAGTCATTTATGCATCATATACCTATTTGAATTTTCCTTTTCTTTTTTTTCTGAGGAGGAACAAGTGTTTACTTTGTAATTATGTAATTTAGAAAAGAAATGTAGTCCACAAGTCCTCAGAAAGAAAGTGAGGGCGTGTTCTCGTTATCAGGCTGATATTTGATTATTTGCTAGTTAAGAGTTGATTCTTGAATGGCCTTCTGGTGGACAGATGCACGCGCTCTTTTCCTTTTTGTAATTATTTTGCACCAGCCCTTTTTATTACTAGAGGAATGCTAAGCTCTGTAGACTAAGTAAAAAAAGGTGTTTCTCTTATAGTGGCCAAAAGTTGGACAGTTTAGTTGTGACACGGCAGCTGGAGACCGGAAGCAGGACAAGGAAACATGTGAGTCAGTTGTCATTGAGCACAGGTACAGACCTGAAGAAGCGCTGACAGGTGTAGGAAACTACATTTCACTGCATTTAATTAGTAGTGAAGTCACTATCATCATCATTCTCACACTATTATATACAGAAAACCTGTTGTTCTAAAGATGTGTTCACACGGTAAGCAGCTGGCATTTATTTGCCCCAAACAGCCAATGTACTAGATATTAGCTGTTAACAAAAAATGGATTGATTGCGTGGGAGTGTATCTTTGGTTCTGTTTCCCTCCAGTCGCCTTCTGTGGCTTTTGCTCAAGTTGGAACATTTACAAGTCAAATGGGTGCGACACAGATGTGTCATTTTGTGTCTTTCATTGACCTTTAATATTCTCACGCTGTCAGAAAATACAGTAACGATCAATCTGACTTATTCACATTTCAGTGTACAAACGAGGGTTTTATGCCCGTCAGCACAGTGTTTACCTCGGCAGCTCCCGGTGGTGATGAACCAACCACCACCTTCAATGCTAATGTCGCTAGTAGTCGAGTGCTACGTCACACAGTTTGGCAGCCAGGATCAGTGTGTACAATACTAAACCCAAAACAGACTTCTCAGATTTATTCCAGATAAAAATAGGAATCGAGTGTTGATGTTGAACAATAGAAACAGAAATCAGGAAAAATCTCCACTCAGTTTGAAAAGCTGCTTGTATTTACTGAAATCATCTTGAAAGTTAAAAATATGACTCTTTGAATGAATAGAATATATAGGATACTGGAGTTTCTTTTGAGATAATTGTCATGTTATTTATTTATTTTATCAAGAAATTTGACATTTTTCCAAAGGTTTTTTATTTTCTATTTTTTAGGTGTTGTACAGGAAATGACCGGGTTCTGGATTTGGTTTTAATGCAACCCGAATCTCAAGTGCATGAACAGCATCGCTTTTTTTTTTAAACACAGATCAAGTGTTCATGTAAAGAAACATCATTTGTAGAATGAATCGTTAAGTGTTGAATAAACCACGGATGATCCTGGAAACCTTTTCTTTGATGTGGTTTGATTTAGCTTCTCATCATTATGTCTTATTGTCCCCATGGCTCATCACTTCACTTCCACGCAGCCATTTTTGGGTTGTGTGTCACCTCTGATTTCTTCCCCGGAGCCATTTTGTGTTATTTATTTCACCCCAAACCCTCATTCCTCAGTTGTTACTAGCTTCACCACACAGAGCCTTCGTCCTCTGCTGCCGGGACACAACCAGACCTTTTGTTTCCAGCGGCAGTTTCAGTGTCAGAGGTTAATTTAACAGACTGCAGGAGGAGGATACATCAACGCATAAAAGACATAAGATCTTACTTAACAGGCAGATACCAGGAAATCATGAGTTGGACTAAGATTTTATGTACAAGCTACTGCAGTCCTCTATTATTTCTTTGTCATTGTGTTTTGTTGACTCATACCAGTCTATGTGGAGTATGTAAACGCCCACCAACAGAGGCCTAAAGACGTAGAATCTAACATGCTGAAAGCTGCAGACATGTTGTGATTGTCAGTTAAATGGTTTCCCATTTTGTTCCTGCTTGTCCGGGCTGCCTGTCAGGATGGTGACATGCGTCTGTAGCCAGTGCACAGCTGGGCTGAGCTGCCTGCTTCACAGTTTCAGTTTTGAAGGTAGAATAGTCTTCTGTCGAGGTGTTGAATAGAGAGGAGGGTAGTATACGCTTGGGAGAATTTGAGTGGCTTCAAAAGCACAAAGAAACAAATGGTGACAGTTTTATATGTGCAGTTGGTAATTGGGTTCATGAAGACAAGGCCCTGAATCCTTTTTTTTTTAGATTTAAGAAATGACTTCTTCACACTGCTGGGAAAACTTCTCCTGCAGGAAAACACCGGATTATTGTATTTGTGTGTAATAATTCTTTCCCCCAGGTTAAAGTTAACACTTTGCCCCATATTTGATGCAACTCTGTCTTTTAGAAATTACATTTATTTACTGCTACCTTTAACCCAGTGCTGCAAGTGCCCAGAGACAACCAGAAAAGTTTGCACTCGTTTCTTGGTATGAGCAGGTACAGTAAACAGAAACGCATGAAGTAAGTTGTCATTGGGGATCATGTAGCTTGTGAGCTACATTAATCACATCCTCATTAGGTATTTGTACAAACATAATACAGGTGGCATCTTGTTTGCTGTTGCTAATTAGCAGCATATGAATGTAATAAAAGGGGACAGGGTTGGTTAGCCATCACTCTCTAATACAAGTAAAACACTTTTGGAGACATAAAAAAACCTTTTGGACCTGTACAATATGTTATTGTCATGGTGAACATGAAACTCAAGAGTTATAGCTGTTTTAAAATGCTGCATTCATGTGAACTGTTATGTCCAGACAAGATTTGGTAATGAACTTCACTGCCTGCTCTGCTTTGTCTTTTGTTTCAATTTCCAGTATTTTTTTTACATAATGCAAAAAAACTAAACCACAAAAATAAAATAAAAAATGTATTCCGCAAAATGAAAAAATGAATCTATACAAAGGAACCACAAAATAATTAAAACAATAGGATGAATAAAAAGCAAACAATCAAAATGAATCAATAAATCAACAGCAAGCTACAAAAAAAGGCAACAGGCAGTTTTTGCTGCTGCAAATGCACATATCACATTCAGATTGTGTTTATTTGCAGCCTGGCCACTAGATGGCAGTGTGTGACAGTGTTTAGTAGTTTAGATGCTAAATACTCTCACTGGCAAACTGACTTGTTCTTGTAAGTGATGAAATGAGCAGCCCAAGGTCTGTCACATGACAACTGAAAAAATAAATAAAGGAGGCTGTTTGTTCTCACACAATGGGAGCGTCAAGATAGATGAGGAGTTCAGCTAAGTTGTTGGTTACCTTTCAACCACTTTCCTCTGTGCAACCTTTCTGGTCTTATTACATTTCCCTGTGGAGCAAATGCCACTGACATCTCAGTATGAAAACCAACATAAAAAGTGGTTGCATGAATCTGAGCCGAGTTCAAACTGGATCTTTGTAATGAGTAAATGGGCAAAATGCACTTTGGTTTGTTTGTTTAAAAATGTCAGTGATATTTGCAAGAAGCCAAGTCTATCTAGAATATCTGGCCAGGACACCCAAATCCACTTTAGTGTACTTTTGGTCTTAGGCTATTTTTCATGGTTTGGACCTCTTTGTTCCATTTCAGGGAAATGTTATTGCGACAGTGTACAATTATACAGTATTTTAGACAACAGTGTTATTTCAACTGTGGTAACAGTTTGTTGAAGATGCTTCCCTGTTTCAATATGACAGTAGCCCCATGCACAAAAGACTTGACCTTGTCCTGCACCAAGCCCTGATCTCAGCTCCATCCAGCACCTTTGGGATGACCTGGAGCGCTGAGTGCAGGCCAGGTCACACCACCCAACACTAATGTTGAATCTCATTTTTGCTCTTGTGTTCAAATCCCAGCAGCCAGAATCCAAAGTTCCGTGAAAGAGTGGAGGCTGTTAAAGTAGGAGAGATCAATGCCCATGGTGTCAGTTTGAAATGTGCAAACACATAATGGTGTAGTGCTAGGGTGTCCACATACATTTGGCCACATAGGGTATCATTAAAAGAAAAAAATCTAGAAAGAGCCTTATGCAGTACTTCAGTAAAGGTACTGTATATAATAATACAGCTCTGGTCTGTGTGTATGGCTCACTTTGGTTTGTATATGAGAGTCAATGGGCGAGCAGCACTGAGAGTTCTCTGTAGGAGAGCAAGTCTCCAAACCTGTCTGCCTTCCAGACCAAACACACATCCATCTCCGTCTCCCAGGCCGCCGGTGACCTCTACTCTGTGGCGTCAAATTAACCTTCACTCTGGCGTCTGCAAACCGCCTGGCTCCTCATCGGAGGCCACCCAGCCTCTGTGGTTACTCACAGGAATCAGTATTAGCCAGAGCCAATGGTGAACATCTCAGAGAACTTCAGTGCGCCTCACAGTCACCAACAGTACATGCAGATGTTTTTTAGAAAGGTAATAAAACTTCCCAGTCTTCTCAGAGTGGTGGTGTTTCTTTGCTCTGCCCAGATAAGAGTGCAAGTTGTATTTCAGCTTTGTGGTCAGCTTGGACTAGAACCATATCAGCCTGCACCAATTTGTGGCCCATAGGAGCTAAACATGCCTTCATTTCAAATCTGCTCTGGTTCTTTAAGTTTATGATGCACTGACTGACTGTTAGGGTGGGAGGTACAGTAAGTGTCCTTGTTATTATATGTATTACGTGTTGTTTTATTATCTAAATGCAATTAAAGACCAAATTCACAACTTCAGTTTATAAACTTGCTCTTTAAGGGCTTTCTGAGATTCATCATGTCTCAGTAAACATTCAAATGACCAGAACAGATGCAGTTTGTCAGAATCATATGTCTCAGTAAACATTCAAATGACCAGATCAGATGCAGTTTGTCAGAATCATGATCATGAACATGACTTCAAAATTCAAAAGGTTTTATCCTACATACAGATACAGAATGTGCTGTGAAATGTGTGGAAGTTGTGATAAACAAGCTGGTGTGCAATAAAGAAACCCATATGTTTTGTA